GGGGAGGCGGCAGAGGGGGGTGGAGAGTACTCGATGTGCTATGGTATTTGAACTGTACACAGGTGTTGTTAAGGAGGTAGAAGTCTGGACTGACAAAACCCGGTGTTCGTATTCATTTTCTTGGGGCTGAAATTGGCAGATAAAGAAGGGAGCAAAGCTTGGGACTTTGATGGGTGTATTCATTCCATGTTTACAGAACATCCTTGGAATTATCTTCTACATTCGAATGTCATGGTATGTATCATAGACGAGGATGCGGTGGGGTGTGTCAGAAACGAGTGCTGTTTGGGAACTTAATGGTGGTTTTGCCTTGGGCGTTGCTTCCTTGTGTTTTGGTCCTTCGTCTTATCCCTCCCACTTCTGTTCATTTTTTCTCATCTTCCTAGCAGCAGACATCACCGCACTGAATTATCTTTTGTGCTATGAAAGAACAAGTCCTGGATCTCCCGATGCATTGAAAGGATCATGGAGGAAAGGGTGAAAAGCAAAATGATAGCAGAAGCAGAATCGCATGCGCGCTGGTGAGGTGTATTATAGTATATCACGGCTTTCGTGGGGCCTTGCAGATTCGACAGTCAGGTTGTGGCGGATATGTTTGTTGATGGTTGTGGTTGATTCTGTGAGGCATCTTGGGAAGATTTTGAAGTAGGTCGAATGACGCTCGCCAGAGATTTGGTTTCAGAAGTCGTAGTATACGTTTCACTTTTTAATAACTTGCTTCTGGTTATCTGACGTCAGGATCATCGGCATGGCTGGCGTGGGGCAGAGTCTTGGGCTTATTGCCCTTTGTTGCTCGTGCACGTTTTTGACTGGCTTGTCACTTAGCGCCATTGCTACGAATGGAGCAATGAAGGTAAGGTAGCTAATCCTTAAATTTGATCACTCCCATGAAAGAAAACTGTACTCGATTTTTCCGAAAACGATTGGCATTTTGAATTTGTGGATTGAACTTTGAAAGGCATTCGGCGCATGTTACGATTGTGAAATGCGTTTTGGCCGGTTGTTACTGGGACCGGGAACTATTTTTTTGTGCGAAATGAGTTTCTTGCGTCTCTTGATCGGTTGCGAACATGCTTTGATGTATTGCAACGTTTTGTCGTTCGGGATGCTGCGTTGTTTTTCAGATGCTGTGTTTGATAGGCAATGGTTTTGGCTTGGTCACTTGGTTCAAGCTTAAACCACTGTAAGAAAGAGAAGAATAACCGAAGGGCATACTGAGCCTTTAACAAATTGGGAGTTTCCTGAGTGTATTTGACTGCAATAATGACCAAATTCAGTCCAGTTGTCATGTGACTCTGTCGTCACTAGCTCGTGGTTAGTCTTACTGGGGAGAGTCATGTTTTCTCTCTTTGTGTGGGAGCTTCCTGAATGTATCTGACTGTTATAATGAACAAAATTCAGTCAAGTTAGGTGATTCTGCCGTCACTAGTTCATGGGTTAGTCTTCGTGTTTTCTCTCTCTTTGTGTGTGTGTGTGTGTGTGTGTGTGTGTGTGTTATTGTGTGTGTGTTGTCATGTTCTCTGTACTCATGTTTTCTCTGTGTGCGTGTGTGT